ACGTCACGGCCCTGAAAAGCGCGCGTATATTTGAATGTTGGTTTTTGCATCATTTTCATTTGCCGATTTCGCAATAACTATTATGAATTTCGCGATTCTAAATAGCATACCGGAGAGAGTAAAGGCCGGGGAGTCAGAAAATATAGTTAGTTGAGGTAGCTCAAAAAATCGGTGGAGTACCCCTTTAACAATGGGACACTGCGGATCATCGTGGTGACCTTGAGAGGGATATGTCCCGAATTATCATAACAGTCGCGTCAAAGCGCACACACAAACAAAAAAAAAGAACACACACACACACAGGTGGCCTCTAAACCGTGGCGACGCACCCAGACACAAAGAGAACACCCTTTTCCTTTCTTTCTTTTCTTTGGGAAAACACACCCAAGTGATCTCGAAACCGCGATCACAAACACATAAAAAAAAAAAAAAATTATTGATGTATATACACAGATACATTGTCTCTCCCCCCCCCCCCCCCCCCCCCCCCCCCCCCCCCCCCCCTTTTCTCGTAAACCGAATGCGTTCGTTCAAAGTCTGAGAAACATTTTGGAGTTGAAGCGTTGCGCGGATCTCGGTGGCCATATCATGATTGTAAGCGGTCAAACGCAACTGTCTGAACCAGAGTGTCGAAGCGAAACTTTTATCGGTTCGGTTCGGGCTTACGACTTTCGGTCCGGTGCAGCACCGGGGTACAAAAATACAAACCGGCGCAAACCGGTTTGTGCAGCTAAATTGAGAATATATTTTCCGCGTTATTTTGGCAATAAGCACTGTTTTCGCCGCGAAACGAGAAACTATTTTTCTTTTTTTTCTTTCTCGTAGCTGCAATCTACTTTTATTTTCAGGCACCAAAATTAAGAAATTGCGTTATTTAATTTTGACGCAAAAGTAAAAGAAAATCGTTAACATGCAAAAACGTCGTGTTCATACGACTGAACATCCTATTTGTTTACCTCAGTCGCATATATTTGTCACAAAGTTTGGTAGGTCACCTAAAATACCCGTGATTGATACAAGAACATGATTGTAAACCTGAGACTGGGGCAGGAAGAGAACACAACAGAAGGTAGTAAAAGAGGAGGCAACGTCTCAAACTCAGCTGCAAAGTTTATTTCGAACACGCTTTATATACCCCATCTCCAACGCCGTCTCTACAAAAAAAAACAAAAAAAAAAAAAAACACACATGACAAGAGGACAATGACACTTCGGTAAACCTTCTCTGATCTCCCTTCACCTTGGCTGTGGGACACTCACACAAAGGGACACATTCTAGCATAACCACCGCTACCCGGCGAACGCAGGTGAAAACACTGCTGAACACAAAGAAAGGGTTTGACCTTCAAAGGTGCGTTCCCACTTACAAATCACTCAGTCCAAAGAAACAATACTATACACTGCTACCAGCCGGAACTGGGGCCATCTCCAATAATGGAGGGCAATGTCGTTCTCATTATTGGAGATGGCCCCAGTTCCGGCTGGTAGCAGTGTATAGAATTGTTTCTTTGGACTGAGTGATTTGTAAGTGGGAACGCACCTTTGAAGGTCAAACCCTTTCTTTGTGTTCAGCAGTGTTTTCACCTGCGTGGGATGAGGACGATTCGTCACACGCGCACTCGTCACAGGACGTATATTGGTCACAGGACGATTCGTCACATAGGAACATTCGTCATAGGATGACTCGTCATGCGGGCAACTGGTCACATCGATCGGGCAGGGGACGATAGTAAATTGTAAATTTCAACAACTGCTCACATTCGCTGATGAGGAGTTTCACGACTTCCCACTGTCACATAAACCAATGGTTAGGAAAACTAATCTTACAATACTCCTCCGCTTTTACTTTCATTATATTACGAGTCTTCAGCAGGTTGATCTCAGTTGCTGGCTTGAACGAGCAATAATCCGACTGGCAGCCAAATTAGTTTTTACTTTTGCCTTGCATACCCCTCTTCGAGAAAACCAATAACTATCGGAATTCTTTCTGCTGAACGTGCAGCATCATGGCTCCACCTCTCTCTATTGCGATCACCTCCATCCTTTTGAATGTAGTCAGAGTTCAAAAATAGTCGCTCTTATATGGCCTCCGCATTCACCGTTCGGAACGGACCCAGAAGCTAAAACGTCTGCTACAAATTCTTTGACGTTGAGAAGAAAAAGACATGCTAAGATAAGAGGTGACCCACTTTGTGATGCCGAACTAACATTCAATGTTCGGGACCGAACCAGAAGCTGAAACGTTTGTTACAAATTCTTCGCCTTTCAGAAACCAAACACATACTAAGATATGAGGTGAGCGACTTTGTCCGCCCGAACCATATTGAGAAATACATTTTTGGGGGGACGAACCATTGTGGGACCGGTTGGCCGTGTGACGAGTCATCCTATGACGAATGTTCCTGCGTGACGAATCGTCCTGTGACCAATCGTCCCGTGACGAGTGTGCATGTGACGAATGGACCGTATCCCCCCACAGCCAAGGTGAAGAGAAATCAGAGAAGGTGTACCGAAGTGTCATTGGCTAGGTTTACATGGATGCGACAGCAGCGCATCGGATCCAGTTAGCGAATCGGATCCACCTCAACCAAAGGATAAAAACGCAAACCTCGTGACCTTCAGATTGTTTTCGAGGTGTCCGGTTTGCCTAGCGGCAGGCGAAGCAAAGCTCCCGTAATCCGTCGCTCGAGCACTCGATCCGATCCGCTAGCGTATACATGGAGAGTCTCGATTCGGATTGACCCTCTCAAACCACCCCGTCCCAGCGGATCGTATCGGATCCGATCCGATCCGATCCGAGTTGTTTACATGGACCGATTCGATTCGTTAACTGGATCCGATACGTAGCCATTGTCCTCTTGTCATGTTTTTTTTTTTTTTTTTTTGTAGAGACGGCGTTGGAGATGGGGTATATAAAGCGTGTTCGAAATAAACTTTGCAGCTGAGTTTGAGACGTTGCCTCCTCTTTTACTACCTTCTGTTGTGTTCTCTTCCTGCTCCAGTCTCAGGTTTACAATCATGTTCAACTTACACCAGCTAGCCTGCACTCTGACTATTTTTTCGTTGATTGATACAACTTTGCGTAGTAGTGTATCGTAATCGTAGTTGTGCTCTTGAACCAAGGAATTGGAGTACATAAAATAATGATATGGGTATCTCGTCGTCATATATATCATCAAATATAGTTTATGAAGTACGTTTTACAATAAACAGGGTGCGACCGTAAGGACAAACATATTTAACTCTCCTCTCAAAATTCGAATTTCAAAAGTAAACGCCTGAATTTGGGCACGCGAACGTAGTTTCACAAAAAGTTTTACGTCATATTTTTTAGCGCTCAATATTGAGGTAGTAAAGTATTAAAAATAAAGCAAAATCAGAGGTCGTGCATTTTTCATGTCTTATACCAGCCTGTTTGTCGTCCACAGACTGGTTTATAAATTATGAACTCGCTACCGGGTGGCTTGCTGCACGCAAAAACTCTTAAAACAACAACAGAGGCTGTCTATGAGTAAGATATTCGCGATAATTAGTACTTTTAACGAAATATATGAACTGTGACTACCTGGGAGCAAGCTTACAAACCAGAATGCAGACGACCAACATCCGGCAGTAGGGCATAGGAAATGTGTGACCGCCGTGTTTGCTCTATTTTAATACTTCACTCTCTTTAACTTTAGCTCCGAAAAAAAGAGAAAAAAAGTAATACAACTTTTCGCGAAACGTTCCCGTACCCAATTTGAAGATGTGCGTTTTTAATTCGAATTTTGCTAGGCGTGTTAAATGTGTCCTTACGACCGCACGCAGTATATGATGACAACGCAAATGAGCTAAAAACAGTTGAAGTATTTATGACAAAACCATGCTCTGTGTGTCTATAAAAGGTGTGTCACTCTGGGTCAGTGACACACCTTTTATAAATACACTGAGCAGCAATCAACCTGCTTGTTTTCCTAACCAACATTTTTTCACACTCAGCACCGTGATGCAGGCGAAAAATAATGCAGAAAAGAGTGATCGAATTAGTTCACTACCAAATTTAAACGCACCTTTGATAGCGCGTATCCAAGTGAACATTTTTCTTTTACAGGATACACTGGCATAGCATGCTGTGGAGGTTTGTTCTTGACAAAATGCCGTTCCGTTTAATTTGCAAATAAGCATCAGCCTTGCTAGTTGATATCTTATTTTATTTATTTATTTATTACATACTGAAGGCCTTGATTAGGCCCTTGCATGTGTGGAGTACAACAGATCTAAACGATGCAAATAAAAAAAAAAAAAAAAACAAAAAACATTCTAAACTGCACACTGGTTTATGAGCTCGCTCCCGGGTGGCTTGTTGCACGCAAAAAACCCTTAAAGGACACATGCAAAGGAAAAACTCTGAGTCAGTGATAGATGGAAAGTTGCAGTTTTTAGACTTGCAACTATTGACTAAAAAGGGTCTTTGTTGGTCTTATGGGAAGGAAACCAAGGAAACCGTGAAGGAAGCCGCTGCTGGTCACGTGGCAGGACGCGCGCCGCCGCGCTGCGTCGCCGCCGCACGCTGAGCGTTGTGCGAACGCCGCTTCAACGCGTTTCTCCAAGCCGCCGTCGCCGCCGCCGCACAAGTTCGTCTGCTTCGGGACGCCGCCGTCTGCTTGCGCTTTTTCAGGAGTTTCCTTTGTGCTCTAAAAGTTACGTATTCGTCTTGGTTTTTTGTTATACTTCAAACAAAGATGAATAAGTTACTTTTAGAGGCCATAAGAAGCTTCCGATAGAGCGCAAGCACCACGTGATAAATAAGGACCAGTCACGTGATAAATACGGACCACTTTTCCGCGGTGCCCGCGGGCGCCAACTACAAATTTGTTTTGCGCCGTAAATATAGCTCTAAAAATTTTTTTTCTTCGTTGTAAAATCGTTTTATGGCGTCCTTTTTTCATCTAAGCCGTTTAAAAAAAATGTTTTTTTCCTTTGCATGTGTCCTTTAAGGCTACGTGGCGCAAGCTACCACTCAGTATAAAGAGAGCAGCCCGAGCAGCCAATATTCATCCATTTATCAAATAAAAGAATTGAATCAATCCAATCCATTGAATCAATCCAAGCCGTTTAGTCCGAACCGGCAACGCACAAACACATGAATCTCTCTGTTCTCTTTGCCGCAAAAGGAAGAAGAGGTAAGTTTGCTGGTGCCGTGGTTCGTACGTTGGGATCAGGCCAAAACGCACTCTAAACGAGAAAACCTCAGAATGAACAATTTCGAAGAAACTTGCTCCCTCCGCACGGACGGCGACTTGCCGCTGGTCAAGTTCAAGTCCAAGGTAACCGGTCTGACTGTCTTCGTGTCGGAGTTCGATGGGCCTCTGGTGAACGGATACCTCTGCGTCGGTGAGTTGACCTCGGACGTCTCGCCGATGGTACCATTACGATACGTCTGTTCCAGCAACGGAGGCAGAGGATGACGACGGACTGCCACACACGCTCGAGCATCTCGTCTTTATGGGAAGCGAAGACTACCCGTACAAGGTAAATTTGCTTCACAGAAGAGAAAATGGGGAAAATGGGTAACGAGGGAATGACAACACGTTAGTTACATTGGGTACGATAATTCGCCTCGCGTTATCAAGTGGAAAGGGGAGGGGTTTGACGCACGATGGAACACGGACCTCACTGGCCCGCAATGAGCCTCTACCGAGGGGCGGGGCTTGCGGGAGGCGGCTTCGTCCGTCCTTTTGCACAGTTGTTTGGTTTATGTATAAACCGGTCGCCGATTAGGATGGCCTGTTTTCCGGTGGTGCGAACGTCTTCTGTGCGTGGATAACGACAATAAAAATAATCGTAAAGGGGTATTCACACGGGAGATGTTTTTGGGGAGGGGGTGTGAGGGACGTCGACGTCTTTGGTTCCAGCCAACGCTACTGGATTACCGCAGTTGTGGAACTCCCGCGGAGGGAGGCGCCTCCCGTTGTTTGAAGTGCCATGTAGATTTAGCTCTGCATTCTATAGAGTACGGTGGAACGGCATCTAGACACTGTGCTTTGAAGTGTACATATTCCTTAGAACACGCTGTAGTTACTACGGCAGCCGTCCGGTGCATTGAACGACGGGAGACGAGCCGTGCTGGGTGAGGGGTGGTACTGCTCTTGCAAGTAGCGTCTATGAGCAGTTACGTAAGCTAATCTAAGAACGTTGGCTCCAGTATTCACTCGGGCGACAGGGAGCCGAGTGGGATGTCGGTGATATCGGAGCATTTACCGTAAAATACAGGGCAAGCGCCTACTCAAAATTTATGGCGAATTCCACTGGGCGTTTTGGAGCGCGCCGGGATCAGTCGACCAGATCCGGATTGGAGCACACGATCCGAATGGGGTCGCGCCACCTGCGGATCCCCAGTGGAACATGACCACTGCCCCGGGATCGGCGGATGCCTTCCCGTCATTCAACTGCCTGGGAATCCCGCGGCCGCCGCGGTCGTTTCGAAGGCGTTTTTGCAATCGCGGCGCTAAAACGTGTTCGACGCACGAGCGACAGGAATGGCTCGGGCGCTTCTAGCAAAGATTGCGGGAATGCCCGTAGCGCGGCAAATACCTTCTCTTCTCCTTCCTGGAAAACGAACCGGCTGTCGAGCCAAGGGGTAAGCAAGCGGCCATTACGAATTCTTCTGATGTTGAGACAATCTAGGAGCCCAGCCCGCGACGTGCTTCTTCTGAGGTGAGATGGGCGAGATCAGGCGAGATGCCCCACGAGAAAGGAAGTCACGTGTGTGCGCCGAGGGCTGGCTTGGCTGGCTTCCGGTTGAATCCCCCGAAATCGTCGGAGTGACTTTTCTCGGATCCAGATCGAGATCTGGAGCGGGAGCTAATCCAAAACGACCAGTGAAACACGTTGGTCTCGATCCCGATCGCCCAGTGAAATAGGCTCGCTCCTGAAAAGTCGATCCCGGCACGCTCCAAAACGCCCAGTGGACTTCGCCATTAGAGATGGTCGCAAAAAAATGGAGGATGGGCGCTTGTCTGGTCATCAATTTTACATATCAATGTACTGTGCATATTTTCTCAGATCTTACAAATTTGGGTATGGGCGCTTAGTGTGGTATGGGTGGTTGCACGGTATTCTATGGTAGAGTCGCACTCTCTAAAACGAAACTCGGTGTGTGCTGACGAGTAAAAAAATAAAGTGGCAACAAAATGTTCTGTTGGGCTGGTTGGTTCATGACTGGATTGAAGCGCTGAAGGACAAAGTGAGGAAGGAAGCACAGAGCGTTGTCGTTACCTTCTTCACTTTGTCCTTCGGGGCTTCAATCCAGTCATAAAAATAGAGATGCACACGAAACGGCAGTACGTGATTATGGCGGCAGATACAGAAGGCGGTATCTGCTTCCTGCTAAAAAAAGATGCTGGGTTAAAAGGTGGATACAACACCAAGTATGTGGAACCCAAAACCAGTTGTACGAGGAGCTGCTCAAGGACGAGATTGATGAATATCGAAGACTCCTTCCTGAAAACCATATAGAAATATTCAACCACCTGTGACCCCGCGCAAGCCACGGGAAGTTAGGTGAACAGGACGCCATTGCCGGTATGCCACAGAGCACGGTCCGTAAAGTTGCCAGACACCAGATCAAAATATCGCCAATTGCGATGAGGTTGCCCGCCAAGGCTCTTTGTGAAGCCCGAGCAGAGGCTCCCACGCCCCCTCGTACGTGAGCGTCTGCGTGCCTGCGCACAAAGGGGCGACATTACCCTCGATATGCACCTTCTGAGGAGTAGAGGGAGAGATTTCTCCCTTGTGCAAATGCCCCTTAGTGGAAAATTCACTCGGCGGAATGATCCACGAATTGATCACATGACGACATGTTCGCGGTTTGTCTGTCTCCCAAGTGCATTCGCACCAGGGAGACGACGAGCAGACGATAGCGAGGATGGACCACAACTGTTTGCGACCCCTGTGCCGCGAAACTCCCAACGTCGCAATGTGGCACCATTGTCCGAGAGTGAAATCTACATTGGCTACCACGGAAAGGAATGTACACCGCTGTTACGAACAGAGCGAGACAAATCACCGTGATAGGCTTAGCGCGAGGTGCCGCTAGGTTTATTAACCCAAGGCATGGCAGTGACACAAGCATGGTTCTGCTCGAGGAAGTTTCAGCGTAGAAGCAACAAAGTCCTGGTTTCGCTGAGGGTTGTTTGGAATAGCTCGGAGATGCCTTCACGCACTCCGCAATCACGTACAACACTTCAGTACACTACGGCCACAAGAAAGGTCTCTCTGAGTGAATGGATGATTGGACGTGCAAGAAAGATTGCGGTGTGCTGACGAGTACCGTATTTATTCGAATATAAGGCGAGGTTTTTTTCCAAAATCCATAGTCTCAAAGTCATACCCCGCCTTATATTCGAAGCTCAGTATAGCAATATGACAATTTTTTTTTCTTTTTCTTGGGTCCTTCAACTGCCCCCTCGCGTTATAATCGTGACCGCTTTATATTCGAATAAATACGGTATTTGCAGAAGCTTCTCCTCACAGATGCGGAGCAGAACCGGAACTGCATCACGTCAGCTGGGCAGAGTTTCTAATCTTTGGTTTAATTAACCAGAAATGCGCAAGAAAAACCCAGAAAAGTTGTACCGTTGCCAGACTAGACACTTTTCAAGTCACACACTCGCCCAACCTCTGCAAGTGAAAAGTCGCTCGGTCATTTCACTTTGCGCGTCCACGGACGAGGTGTGGATCGCAGGAATCGATGATGGGGATGGTCATGCGGTACACAGTCCGCGGACGAAAACGGGCCACGATGGACGTGGCCCTTTTCGCCGGTGTCGGAGGAGTACCGTAGGCGCATTGCAGGGGGTGCTGGACCAGCTGGCCAACCGGTGCCTGGCATCCGGGACCAACGCGTGGACGGACACGGACCACACGTGCTACACCATGACCATGGCGGGTGCCCGGGGCTTCCTGAACCTGCTGCCGGTGTACTTGGACCACGTGCTGTACCCGCTGCTGACGGTGGGCTCTGGCCGGTTGGTGCTGGAGCCCGCCTGACACCCCCTTTGCAGGAGGCGGCCTTCCTCACGGAGGTGCACCACATCAACGGGGAGGGCGAGGACGCCGGCGTGGTCTACTCGGAGATGCAGGCCCGGGAGAACACGGGCGAGAGCCTGTGCATGCTGGGCCTGCTGCGCACCGTGTACCCCGCCCCCTGCGGCTACGGCTACGAAACCGGCGGGCTCATGAAGAACCTCCGCGAGAGCACCTCCAACAAGAAGGTGCCCCTTCTTTCAGTCTTCCGAGGCGAGCTCGGCCAGTGCCAACCAGAAAATGAGGCCTGCGCACAATGTCGTCGTTAGTGCCTCCCTGCCCAAGCGGCAAACACGCCCAACCTCGACGCGTCCGTCTTGGCGTCTCCGCACGAGCGTCGCGCTCGTTGCGAGACGCGCTGGCTGCGATGCCGACGTAAGGTAGGTCGTGCTGCGTGGAGTGACGACCTACCTTGACGTCGTGCGCTCCGGGTGGCATCGTTTTGTTCGACTGCAGCAACATCTACATATATCCAGGCATTTCAACTGATTTGGCGGTGTTGAAGAAGGAAAGGACACCGTTTTCGTCGTTTGCGCAGTAGAATTCTCATAGTAAAATGATCTATAAATGCCGAGTGTTTATTCGGAGCACCAACTCGCAAAATCGAGCAAAAAGTAATTTATGCTTTCTTAGGTTAGAAAAAACGGAGATGCGGGCGAGAACTTTCGATGCCTCGAGATCCCGAGACCGAGGAATGGAAGTGGAGACGTCCGAGATTAGCGCACGTGACGTCCCATTTCTCAGGTTTCCGAGACGTCATTCTTCCGTCGGGCGGTTTCTCGTACGCTCCGAACGGGGGGGGAAATGTGCTCGGACGGCTGTTTGAACAACTTTGATGGTCCTTCAAAGGAGGCTCGTGGAAATGGAGCGTGCTGGTTAAGTTACGGTGTTTGTGGAGACTAACATAGAGGACGAACGTGTCGTGTGTCGAACATAGAGGACGAACGTGTCGTCCTGTTTTCGTCCTCTATGTTAGTCTCCACAAACACCATTCAAAGGAGGCTTTCTTTTCATTCATTTGGGGACGACCCGACGGCCAAAATTGTCGGAGTAAGTGCGGATAAATTCTGGCATTCTTGCACACTGTGGCATCCGAGGGTTGTTATGTTGCCCGCAGGTCAAGATGTATCATAGGAGCTTTTACCGGCCGGAAAACCTCTGCGTCATTGTGACCGGCAGCGTCGCTCCGGCCGAAGTGCTCAAAGCCATAGAGCCCATCGAACTCAAGATTATTTCGAAGGTGAGCGAGGATTCGTTGCTGCTTTTCGCCCACTTTCTTTAAATGCCGGTCATCCCGTTTTCATTTCTGTTTAATGCAGTTTAATTTATTTATTTTTATTTAGACATACTGCAGGCCTTTCAGGTCTGGGGTACATACAGTCAGCAAAACTATGCATATAAGAAAAAAAAACACATGGCAACCCTATATTTCTTATACAACGAAATATATACTCTAAACAACTCAATTTTGGCAAATTTCGCAAATCGCCTACAATTTGCGAAATATAGGTCCCGCAAACAATTTGGGTAAACACATTGGAATTTATATTAAGATTGCGGTGCGACGCAAGAATTAGAACCCGCGAATTATTCCAAAAATTCAGCTTTGACCTAAATCGTAAAATAGGGAGCCCGCGAAAAATAAGTCGTATCCAGTAAATATAAATACCATCAGCGTAATAAACATTCCTTAAAGGCGGGCGCTCAAAATTTTCTTCAGCGTGGCAGAAGATTCCCCCTCTTTTCTTTTTTTCCTCCTCCCCTTTCCTCCTCCATTTTCCTCCTCGCTTTTTGCGGCCTTCTCGCACGAGTGCTAATGGGCTTACCGGCCCCCCGACAAAATCTCTGTAACCCTTCAAGGTTCTCTGCTTCAATCCCAAACACCAGGGATTAGTTAGGCAGGCTGGATATGAGCTCGGAAGGGTTCGGGCTGGCTCGCTTTTCTTCTTTTTTTTTGCTCTTTTTTTGCAGCTCTAAAACACACTCAGATAGTCAACACCAACTAGCCCAACAACAAGTTATTTTACATTCAGATACTTCCGCATGCGGCCACACACGCTACAACACCGCATATTTATCTCGAGTGACCGGAACTTGAACATCACAGCAGAAGGAAAAAAGATGGGTATTTTTATCTGAACTTTGAGCTCTACCAAGAGAGTTGAAAATTGGTCGTTATAACAACGGCACACTGAAGAGTGATTGTATGACTATACTGTTTTTTTTTTGTTTTTTTTTGTTTTTTGTACAAAGTAATAATCATGAGTAATTACAGGTCAAAGATATTGCAGTCAGAGGGACACAGTCTGACCATTTCTGGGGCATAACATATCCATGGGTTCGTACTACAGGTGCTTTCTAGAGTGACGGTTGCCTCGTTGAAGCTACTAAGAAGAGTAAAAACAAACTTCCATAAAAAGTGAAACGGTTCATGGTATATTTCATCTATCTCCAGCCTTTGAAAAAATTTCTTTGTGGCCAAACGTGCATTTAGTTTCTGTCAACAAATGTAACTGAAAACTCGACAGCCGACAAATATCTTGCGTATCAGCAAAGAGAACGGAAAACACGGAGATTGAACCGCAAAATCACAATTTTCTTCGCGTAAAATAGTGCAACTAGCAGTAGTAGCATATTATGCCATTTATTAAAAGACAGCAGGTATTACGAAGTTTTTATTCTCTTCTGTTCCCATTTGTTCGCTGATTAAGAAATGGAATGCCCAGATAGCCTCTGCAGCCCTTGTATCATAATCGTTCGGGGCTCTGTCAGGGTGGGGAAGGCCAGCGACCATGTTAAAAAAAAAAACCAGGAGTTCGGAAGGTGTACTACCGCAAGCTTTGGGGCTGCTTGGCTAATTTAGGCGTCTGGCGTTCCCCGCCTACTTAGAAAAGAAGCGGAACAGCGGCCAGCTCAACGTCGTCACCAAGCGGGAAATCATGCCAAAATGTGTCCTTGAACACGTGCGAGATCTTTAGCCGAACCCAGCCGGGATTCGCCACAATTCATCTATGAAAAAAACGGGTCCATATCATAAGAGCGAATGACATTTTAGCGAACGGCGACATTTGAGCGAATGGTCGTTTTAGCGAATAACGGGGGCGCGCGTTAACCCATCCGTCGCGCTGCGCTTTACGCCGCTTCGCGGCGACAGTCTGCGGCAACTCATTACAAAAATATTAACTCACTTAGCCCAACCGAAAACGCCGCTTCGCGGCGTCCGACTATTCGCTAAAGTGTCGTTCGATGAAACGTGGGCGTTCGCTAAAACGTCATTCGATCAAGTGAGTGCCTCCCGAAAAAAACTATAAAAAGGGGTAGGCTTAAACAATTTGGCAATTTTTGAATATAGTCATGCGGACTAACTGTTCGCAAGTACAGAAAGAAATGCAGTAAAAATGCAGAGCTCTATTGTGTTCTTTATGTCCATACTTGTCTTTCGCGCTGTACGCCAATTAAAACAAATTCTGCAATATCTGTAGATTATGCCTGGTTATGTTGTCTCTACAAGAAAAGTAATCAAGCAAGTTCGGTATCGTGCCACAATTTGTGCAAATACAATTTTATGTGGAATTCAACGTCAAAACAGTACTTCCGCGGGAAATAATGCATCCGTCGTTCTTCGTCTTCCTGAAGCTGTCAACCACCGATCTTGGCTACAGGACTTTTTGGTCCACAAAATATCACGCTCAGTAGAAAATTCGCCTTTCTACCAAAAGTACTGGAAATTATTTATTTTTCAAACAGGTTGGGTGGTGATGCGTGTTTGAGTGTAGGATCGTTGACTGGGCACTGGTTTGCGCCAAGAGTGCAGTGCCTCCTTTCATGCTGCCTGCGACGAGTGTTAAAATTTGAATATTGTAGAAATAAAATCAACTTAGAATTATTTTAAACTTGCGCTTTCTTCAGGCATTAAGATTTTGGTCCTACCTTTTATTCATTGTCGTCTTCGATGAGGGAACAACTTGCCGAGGAGGCCGCGCGGTCCGCGTACGCGGCTTGACAGGTCGCGAATGCCTTTCACGAATCTTTAAAGACCAGTCATAAAAATGAAAGACGCTTACAAATCTCTGTAACGCGAAATTAGAGCGCAGCCACTTTAAGCCAATGAAACCAACTTTATGTTTTGGGCAGACGTCTTGCGAGAGTTGCAGTATTTTTAATTATTCCCAATAAATTAAATCTTAAGGACTAAGTAACAAACTTTTTTAAATGTATTAACAACCAAAATGTCGATTGGAAAGTTCTAGAGCTCCTTGACAAACACCCGATTAGGTGTTTGGAACGTGGTACGGCTCGCGTGGCTTCCTTCTGACTAAAGTAATAAAGCTAATGAAACATGACAAAATACCCCGTGATAAAGCGCCCGCCCGATCATAAACTCAATTTGGAATGTCCCAAGATGTGTGTTTATAGGCCGAAAAAAAAATAGAGATGCATGCAAGACGCAGTGCCCCACACCTTAATTATATCAGAGAAGAACTGCCCTCTGTTTTATATACAACGTTTTTTTTTGTTTTTGTTCTTTTCACCTACCAGATATTAGAAAAAAACGTGCAAATTAACGCTTTGTGGATGTGAGCTATACGGCCAGGCGAAGATTGGATTGGAGAAAGAACGCAACAAAAACCCACTGATTAGCTAACATTTGTTAATGAACTTTTTGATTATAAAAAAAAACGAGATAGTTGATTTATAAAGTTGTTGGGCATAATCGAAAGCCACCAAATCGTCCAGTGAAAATTAGCGCCATTGCGGTTTGTGCAGGTGAGCTATACAGCCAAGCGAGGATTAGGTTCCAGAACGAACGCAACTAAAATCGAGCGATTCCCTAAAATTCGCTAATTAACCTTTTAATTAGAACAGAAAACGTCATCGTGTATTTAGAAAGTTGTTGGCCATATAATCGCAAGCCACCAAACCGTCCACTCTTAAAAAGATGTAACGCGCGTACACTATTATGCGGTGTCCTGATACGGCGTCCTGCTAATTTGGGCGTGAAAATATAGTTCTGATTTTATGTGGGCTCCATCTCCGCGTGGCACAGCCTAACGCCATGAAGCCAAAGTGACAAATCATGCGCATCGCTGTGACAACGCCACTGTAGAAGGGGCGAGGAGCGCGGCGGCCGAAAAGATTGCGGTAACACGATTCGCGACCAAATTAGGCTTTTTAGGACGCCCTGAGCCACTTCACGTGCACTACATCTCTTTAAAAATGAATGATTTGGCGTTTTTGATGACTACAGATAAGGCACAAACCGCAAGTGCGTAACTCTGACGCCTCAGTTTCTAAAAAAAATGTCTAGTCGTTAAAAAAAAAAAAAAATCGCCCTGTATAAGCACGATTGTAAGGCAGTTCTTTACGTCCGGCGACATCAATACGGCATGGAAGGAGACGTTGACCACAGATCATACGCTGTGTATGATCTGTGGTCACTGTTTTTTTTCGTACGAGGATGAGCAAACATTTGATACCAAATAAAATAGTTTTAGCATTCACCAAATTCGGCTTGTTTACTTGATTCAAATCGATATTTGATTTGATTACACTTATTTTGTACCCGCACACGCCTACTTTATTCCCTAATGAGTTGCAAGTGATAATTACCGTGTTTTTTTGTTTTTTTTTCTTTTTTTTGTCGTGCGAGGTCATCACAATTTATTATTAACAATCGGAGCTATGCGATTACGCGGAGGAGGCGCATTTGAAGATATTTAAAATTGTTCTGACTACACAAACATCTTCAAACGTCTTGCTGTTTGGGTCCTTTCCTACAAACAGGACCAATAATAAAGCCAAAAAACTTATAGAGGAGACTGTCTCTATCAACTCAACGCGCAAACACGATGTGAAGCGTGTCTGCGTGCGTAGGAAAAGAGATACCGGCGAGAAAACCATAGCGTCGAATGTCCATGCATCAAAATGGCCGTGCACCGAAATATCCGCGCACCGAAAAGTCCCACACCGAAAAGTCTTTGCAGCAAAACGTCCGTACACTGCAGGCACGTAGCCAGGGGGCGGCCCATGGGGCTCGGCCCCCCCTCCCCCCCCCCCCCCCCCGAAATCTTTGATTTTGCTGGAACCTCCTCTGCCCCCTTCCCCTCATGCAGCATTTTGTCATGGGCGGACCCCCCCCCCCCCCCCAAAAAAAAAAAAAAAAAAAATGCTGGCTACGTGCCTGGTACACTGAAATGTCCGTGCACCAAAAAGTCCGCACCGAAATGCCCTACAGCAAGACGCTCTACACCGAAAAGTGCTAGACCCACTACGGATGGGACCCTCCGTCACCTCTGCCGGTTTACGGACCATAATGATTCAGAACCACTGGTCTATGGAGCGCCATCCCTGATATACAGAAAACGCCGCTCGTACTTCCCGTTGTCGCCATGAATCCGCCTAAACAACGAAAGATGACAAATCAGATATTTATAATAAAATGTATACTTCAATGCTTACTTCTTTGAGCAGAACAAGGTATTTGTGCTCTTACAACAGCAAGAATCGTCCTCCAAACCAATGCTAAAAAAGGGCCAATGCAACTCGTTGGGAAGAGCAAGTGCCAAGCTGGCTCAAAACAGCTACTCGGTTGGTCCAGCTCCTTGTCGCAGGTGTGCCGGCTGGCTTCTGGATAATCTTTTCAAATCTTTGAAGCTTTCATTCCCTTCACCCCAAGCTTGTCAAAAAGAAAAAAAACAGGCAGCGGGCAAAAAACAAAAACAAGATAAAAAAATGGGAAAATGGCGAGGAGGAAACGAGAGGTGATTTCCTCCTTTCATAGTGGCGAGAAGGAAAGTGAGGGTCGGGTTCCTTCTCTCTGCTTGCGGGCCGGCCTTTAAAGAAGCTGTGCAACGATTTTAATGTTGAAGGAATTGGAATCTCCAACGTTTGACAGTGTTCACCTAGTCACAAAAAACAGAAAACACACCTCCCCCTTTCAAAATGCTGCGATTCCGCCGCGTAATAGCGAGGCAAAAATGAGAATATTCCCCGATCTGCAGCCGCGAGCGGCGGCCATGAGAAACACGTGGCATTACGTCAATGGGGCTCTTGTAGAAAGATAGCAAGTTGTGCGAATACTTGCTCGATAAAAGGTAACTTTTTTATAAATCTTGTCGTTTCAACATATATATAAATGCTTCAAAAACCTGGTATCATCGACAAAACTTTTATTACACGGAGTTTTAGTGGCGCCGTCTATACTAGGTCTACAAAGCCGTGGGCTCTATCTGCTACCGCGACGGTGCCTACGAGGTAGGACGGCGCGAACAGCCGCCAGAAGCGGGAGGGGAAGGGGGACAGAACCGGACGGATGAGACTTTCCTCCTTTCACCATATTGTTGGCGCTGGCTGCGCCCGCCAGCACGTGGTCACGCGGTCGCGAGTGGATGAGTTCTCGCTGCTCACCGATGGCTCTAGAGAGAGCTTCACCGGAACCCCGCGCAACCCCGTCGACGTCGCAGCGCACGTGACTCGGAAGATGGTGAAGGAGTTGAGAGGCGCCAAAAAACCTCAATCATTGTCAATTTTTAAAATAAAAACTAAGACACGCAGCCGAAAGCGGCTTTTTGTTCTTTACTTCGGAAAGATCGAGACACCAACTCCCAAATTATTTAAGCAAAGTTCCGAAACTGTTGCACAGCTCCTCTAATCATGCCTAATATACAAAAAAAAAAAAAGAATGCATGTGCAAGCTCCAGGAAAGGAGGACATTTAAAAGGTGTGATTCTCAAGAGTGCCATTGTTGAAGTTGGGGGCAAGAAAAATGTCGCACGAGGGAGGGCGTTCCAATCCTTAATAGTGCGTGGGAAGAAGGGATACTTAAAAATGTTTGAGCGAATATTGCTACCAGGGGATACTGATGGTGGTGCCTAGTTTCCCTAGATGATGATGATAAGTAAAAGCTCGATTGAATGCGGAGTCTGTTCCGGTAAAGCAAAGACAAAAATTTTAGTCTCGCATATTTTCGACGATGCTGGAGCGATGATATATTGTTTGCCATCATTAATGAAGATGGGGAGTCTAGCCGATTATACTTTTCATTGGTGAAGCTCTCGCTCTTCTTCGCTAGATCTTCTCTGAATCATCTCAAGCTGTGACGGATCCTTTTTGGTATTGGGGTCCCATACTAGGCCAGCATATTCTACCTTCGGTCGAAGCAAGGAGTTGTATGCTCGCAATTTAATGGAAGTTCCCAATGTAGCAAGCCCAATGTACGAGATGCGGAGGAACAGATGTTTTGAATGGGTTGTGGCCAATGGAGATCGTGGCCATGGGTTACACCGAGGTATTTATATTCAGTCGCATCAGATATCACATCCTTGTTTAACCCCTCGACCGTTTTTCGTTTTTGGCAGCTTTTAACCCTGAACCGCTTCTTATCTTCTTATGATTTCAGTTACTCCACGCATGAAGTTATATTTATGATTGAACGACAGAACAAACTGAAACATTTTATTGAAGTCGATTGTAATTGCTTTGTTTTTGGGACAAGTTCAACTAACTCGCACTAAAACAAAAGAAGAAAAAAAAAAACTGAATGGAAAGGAACAGTTTTCCCTTAACCGTTTTGGACGAGCTACGCTCGTTCAAAACGGTTAAGGGGTTAATTGGTAAGTGAACTTCAGTGGCTTCACTTTTCTTGTTATATGTACATAAAGGAACAGTTTTCGTCAAATTTAGCCGCATTTTCTAAGAAGTGAACTTGGGATTTTTGTCGCATTGTGGTGACCAAACTGCGCCTTTGTCGGTTTAATTTGGCCGAACGCACACGTGGGTCACGTGGCAGCGCGACGTCACGCGGCACGGTCACGGGACACAATGTCACATTGTGCCGCAGCTTGCCCCCCAACGTTACTAGATTCAATAATTTCGTTGCCACCTTGACGCGACAAAGTGACTTGGCACTGCGAGTCGCACGACCCAGTGTCACGCTGCCCAGATTTGGTTATTTGGGGCGTTCTTTTTAGCGCGACTAGGATTTTTAAAAAAGAGAACTCGCATTAAGGTTCTTTAATCCTGAGGGTGAAGTCGGTGGCCGTGGGTGCCGCGAGAAAAGGGCGGAATTGGTTAACCGTTAGCTAATTAACAAATTTTTACTTTTATTTCTGGGGGCATAATGTAGCCGGGAAACTGGCTCCCATCATGCGGTTAGAAAGTGAGTGAGAGAAGTTGGATTGGGAACTAAGTGGGCGGAGATCCTTGCGTGTGGCCGTGGCCCCTCTACCGGAGAGAGCGGGGCAAGCCCACCTTTTTCTCGCAGGGTGCCCGGAAGCCCTTTGTGCGGCCCTGGCAGAGGCCCCTGCCGCCCCTCCCCGCCAGCACGGACCTGGTGGTGCCGTACCCGTGCGACGACGACGACCACGGCCTCGTCTACGTCGCCTACCGGGGGCCTCCGCTCAAGGTACCCCTTGTGGGCTTCCTCTGGAACCAAGGACGCTTCTTTTCTGGTTCTTTCCTCCTTCGATGCTAGACTCGAACCACATATTGGTTCTTTACCCCTCTTTCGTACAAGCTCCGCACAGTTTTCTTTGTATGTCCCGCAGTTACAGTAGTGAACAGAAAGATACAATATTTCAGTTTTATGTGGGTAACTTTTCTTCGAACTGTGATACAGATATAAAAATAGTAATGGAACACTACATTAACGTATTTATAGAGTAGAAACTGATGCCTACTTAAATATGAATAGATTTTTTTGTAATCGTTATTTATCGATTACAAAAATTTGTTGATTTATCGATATTTGTAATCTAAATTTTTGCACCGCGTACTCTTCCCATTGCCTGCTAAATATGTTTATATTCAAAATAACCCATTATAAAAACCATAAGAATTCAATATTCTTTTCTTACAAAAGGAAAACGTACGGGGCTGAACGGCCACGAGGTAGCGAAGAAGAAGGCGCAATTTAAAAAATAAATAATAAATAATTGCGACACCGGTATACCGGTGTTGCAATTATTTATTTACTATCTGCCAGGGGTTGGTTGTTGCGACACCGGTATACCGGTGTCGCAACAACCAACCCCTGGTGACTAAAAAGGCTGTATTATGGTGTACCATATAAAAACAAAATATTGTTGGCTATTCACTAGACGTCGAGCAATACTTTTGTAAAAAAAGCGAAATATCGTATCTTTTTGTTCACTACTGTACGTAGCTTTTCTCGCGAGCAGTTTTGCTCGAGTGGTCCCATTCTTTTCAGCTGGTGGACCGTTTTGTTTCCCGTAGGTTTCCCGGTTGGACGATCCGTTTTGGTCGTACGAGACTGCTTTTGGCCTCGTAGCTTTTCGTATCTCTAGCCGTCGAGTTTGTGGCCCTTTTCTGGTTGGGCTGTCCTCTGGACCTTATGTGGAGCTCAGGTTTGTCCACTTTTAGCATCGGGGTCGCAGTGATGGTAGAACGCCGAGCCATTATTGTCCGATTGAAAGAAGTAGGTATACCTTGAGGCATCGAGCACTGAGGTCTGCCCACTACCTTTCCAATCAAACCCAGTCGGAACTCGGCGTCGTTCTGGTCCTGATGTTACCGCAACCCCTCCGCAAGAAGCAGACGACTCGCTCTTTGTGTAGCTTTCCTTTTCCACGTGGTTTTTACAATCTCGTAGCCTTTCTTGGCAACCTCGTAGGTTTGGCTGTCTCGTAGCACACTCTTTGCAGCGGTCAGTTGCGGTATGGTGCCCCATTTGCAGCTTTACCGGGACATTGCGGCACTGCTGGTACTCGAGGACTACCTGACGGACACGTCCATGTCACCTCTTCAGAAGCTGTTTGTCGAGACGGAGGACCCCTACTGCAGCATGGTGCGTGTGCCCCTCGGTGCTTGAGGACTCTCTCACTCCCCTTCTTGGCCACAGGTCAAGGCCAGGTTCATCGAGAACCGGGAGTGCTGCTTCTACTTCGTCTTCGAGAATGTGACCAAGCGGAAGCTTCCCTTAATCAAGGACACGTAAGTCTTTCTGGGGCTCCCTCTTCACGCTTCGGTCTCCCGCGTCGTGAACGCAAAACACCTTCGGAGACTGCAGTCGACCGCGGTAGAACCTTTTCTTTGGTCGTACGGACAGATTGCAAAAATTAACATTTTCTTTCGTTGCTACTAACAAGATTAGACACTTGTTCTACTACACTACGAGCTTTCAACGACTTTATTTTGCTGCAAAGTTGTGGCAAGTTTATAATACTGGTAACAGCATTTGGAGTATGTCGGTATAGCGTAGTAAATAGGGAGTTTTAGAACAGCGCACGCTAAAGCTTTGCGTACGCAAAGAATAGCGTCGTCGCCACTGCGCATGCTCCGAACGCAAACCAGGTTTCGCGCTTTGCGTGCGCAATTTTAACGTGCGCTATTTCTCGGAAATAGCTTGCGTACGCAAAGAGCCTTTGCGCTTCTCCAAGGAGGATTCATGATGAGAAGTTGGCTAAAGCCAAGACGAGCAGAGTTAAGCAAAAATGGCGGCTTCCAGGATTATGTCGGCGGCTGCTTTGGCGACGTCGTGAGTGCGACGTCGGCGGCATCGTCGCGACCGCGATTTTCAATACGAGACGAAATTGTACTCGGTTTGGCAACGATCACTGGCAACTTGATGCTTGCGACGCGCGAACACTTCTCGGCGAAGGTACGATGTGCGAAGGTCAGTACACGAGACCTCTCTTGCCGAGGCGACGCAAGCGGGCAGGACCGGTCAACCGCTCGCGTCCCATTCTCGTGTTTAAACAAATCTAAAATGGTACTTTGGACCAAAAGGCTTGTTTCTTTCTAAAGTTACAGCATTTCGCGTGTGAAATAAAAATTGTGACTGTATCTTGGTGGCGTCACAAGCGCGAGATGCTTGGGCTTTTGCGTCGCGACGGAGAAACGCTATTCTAAAACTCTCCTGCGTCGCGGGCGCTAATACAAGCGCTAAATTTAGCGCTAGCGTGCGCTAAAATTGCGTACGTTATTCTAAAACTGATTGCTTTAAGTTTCCATTACTGTTAGCCATATCGTGCCCATAATCGTCGTCATTGCCGCAGAATGCTTAGGCCCAATCACTCTCTTGGACATCACCTACTGTGCGCCACATTGTCGAGACTGGCATAGCTTCCACGCTGCTTCAACGCTGTGAAAGCCACAAGCACATTTGGCACACGTCTCCTTTGCGCAGAGACACGTGCTCTCACAAGGGGCCTGCAGCATTGTGGAAGCTACACTAACCTTGACAATGTAGCAGAAAGTAGTCGGTACCAAGCAGGGCTAAGTTTGTAGAATAGCATCATCCCGAAAGAAAATTCGAAACTGGATTTTATGAAAAACTTTTATGCAAAGAGAAAGTTATTTTCGTTTAATATCTCAGAAAATTGTCTGACCAGTTTGCATTTTACGGTGATAGCTGTTATGGGCTCCTCCCATCACTGCAAATAACGTCCATTGTTGATGATCCAGTTGTAGTTGTCCTTGTTGATTTTGTAGTTTGCGTTTTAGGGCGTCCGTCGTCATTCTTGCCAAATCCTCGAAAAAGATTGCCCGCCGACTGTGGGAACCGAACCTGGGTGCGGAACTTGAACCTGCCAAGTGGAAGCATTACCACTGAGCTTCGCCCACGGTGGAAGAAACACATTGAAGTGATGGCTCTGGCCACTCTTCCCGCGGGGAGCGAGCGACCAGATCGTGTTTGGAGCTAGCCTCGAACCAGGAGTGGTTAGTTCCGCACCGCCGCGGAGGGCGCTGCGATGCGGGGTGCCTTCTCATCAGCCACAGTGTCGGCGGTGTAGCGTGCTCGCCTTTTTCGCGGTGTGGTGGTGTGGTGGTGGTGTGCGGCCGGTGGCTGGCCTCATGTTTTGCTTTGGTGCTGTGCCGATCACAGGTGCCACCATCGTGCACCAAGGTGAGCCTTAATCCGAAAAAGAGGGAAGAGAACACAGATTTACAAACTCTGGTGACTTAGTGGTGGCGTAACGGCGGTGAAGTACAACGAGAAGTGGTGAGCGAGGCAATGGCGGGACCACTGCTGGGAGAAACAACCGGAGCGGTTGTTTTGGGGAAACCTCGTACTGTGGCGCCATCTATCCTTGTGCGAGTGAAGCGTTTTGTGCACCGAACATGATGTGGTTGCTTCGTCGGACAGAGAGTCGTCACCTAAATGTTCCTTCCACCGTGGCTATGCCACAGCGTTAACAACCCTCTCTATACTTGGGGATTTTGTAGTACCCAAAGCCCACTGCACGCGCTCTCTGGAAAAACAAGCACAAGACAGAATGCCATCGTATCACTCACTGTCAGTGCCAAGAGCTCATGACGGGAGACACACTTTCACGCACTCCAGAACAAAAAATAAAAGAAAACAAGCGTTTGGAACAAAATGGAACAAAACAAAAGCATTTGGAGCAAAAATGTCTATTTTGTTCCGAATGCGACGCCGATGCCCAATGACTTCGCTGTGACATGTTGCAGCTGTCGCTTTGACTTTATGTACGTCTGCTAAATTTTTTTTTTACAAATTCGTCTAGTTCCTTAGTTCACCCTTCAAATTTTTGTATAATCTTCGAAACTCTTCCAAGTAATTTTTGGTTAAAAAAAAATAAAAAAATGAAATTTGCCAGTTTATATTTTGAATAAATTCACTTAAATTTCTCCAGTAAGTCAAGCCCGGTTATACGAAGTCTGTCGGAATTACTTCTTTACATCCACTATTATGTTATATGTAAATAAACATAAAATCGACGGAATGGAAAAGCTTGTTTATTCCTTCTGCAAAAAGTTGGGCAGGGTTCCCTGCAGGATTTCGGGACTGCGGCCTCGGTACCGTCCGACCGCGAGCCGAGGTTCGGCTCGGAACTTCCGAGGTGGTAGACAGAGCCGTTGTAGCTCTGTCTACCACCGGCCATTTCGGAGATGCATTTAAAATGCACGACCTGGCCAGATTGGAACTCGGTGTGTAAGGGCACCCATCTCGCCGGAATTCTCGTTGAGCATTGCCAGAGGAAACTGCGATTTCATAGTTTCATGCAACGTCGGTCCCGACGTCCGGGCGGCCTCAACCGTTATGACGCGCTTCAACTTTGGCAGCGGCCCTCCCTTTTTTCCGTCGACGTTCTGGGGCTCGGCAGGCCCGACGTCTTCGAGAAATCGGCGATCGATCGACCGATTCGCGTTTATTCCGCCCCCCACAGCTGGCGGGCCTTGTGAAAAGTCCACGCATTTGCGGCAAAAAGCAAAAAAAGGACTAGTCAGTAACAATTTGTAACACACTCCTTTTGAACTCCTCGGAATTGCCGGTGAACGAGTCCACGTCGGAACTCTTCCGTCTGTCATACCCGAGCTGCGTGCGTGTCGATTGAGGGCGAGATTCCCAGTCGGAAGGCTCACAAATGGTTCTATTTTGTTGTCGGGAACATGAGATAGGATTGTACCTCGTACCTGGGGAGGATCAATAGAACACCTTAGAAAGGAACACTCTGGCAAACTAGACGTCTATTCGAAAGAGGCGAAATACAAAGAGTGGCTAAAAGACGCAAAATGCTCTGCTGTGGCGATCAAGCGCAACTGTTGCGAAGCGTCGTTGCACGGACTCTAATCTGAGCATTTGACTAACACCTAAAGAATTCCACACAGTGGAAGGAAATTCCAATCTCGTGAAAACTGGCGAGTGAAATAGCTATGGAGTAACTGTACAAGGCTGCGGGTCGCGCGTGAAATTACAACTGGCAAGCAACAAGGATCATTAACAATGTTCGAAGCACTAAAAGTCGAGCCACCAAGGTCACGTACAGCATCGGAGCCATCTAATTTGTAAAGGTCAAGAATGATATTAGCCTTATGCGAGAAAGAAATGAGTTTTTGTAGGATTCAAAGACTGCAAGTTTGTGACTCCAAAGACGAATTGCAATAACGTCATTTTGCAACAATTTGGTCAACAGACAAACGGAAACTACAATTAATTTTCACATCATCGGCAAACTGAAGTGTCTCCGAGTTGCTGACACCAGAAGCAAGGCCATTTACAAACATTGTTTATTCTTCTTCAATAAGCGTTAAAAATGGTAAATGGAGACGTTAGCTGCCCCAGGGCATGACCGGCTACTCGGATGACGCGCAAACGGCAGAAAAGGACGGACGTATTTACTCCACGAGATGGAAAGATTTTACGGAAGCCGGGCCGTGTAGCCTGGCGCGCAATGGTCGGACATGCCAACGCCCTAAAGTTGTCGTGTTCTTCGTCACAATATATCGAAAAGCAAACGTCCGAGATTCGACCCTCATTGTACGAATTCAACCCATAGGGACGTGTCTTGCATCCTGGGTAGGGCACAGTATTCAAACAATGACCCAGGTCGCTGGCAAGCTAATCGTAAAAACCCGAAGGAAGACCCAAATTATGCAGCTTTATCGAGAATAGCTTGTGATCTACCAGGTGGAACGCCTTTGAAGAATCAAAATAAATAACATCAACCTGGCCACGGGACCCAACTATAGGCGTTGAAAATTCCAAAAAATGTTACGAGGTTAGTTTCAACAGATTGTTCGTGACAAGATCCGTGCCGATTTAGGCTGAGCGCAAGCCTAAAATGAAAACTGAGCTGCTTAAAAATCACTTTTTCAAAAAGCTCGGAAGAAAGGTAGCGATGCAGTTGGTCCGTAAGTGTGGACAGACACGGTGCTTTCAGATTTGGGAACTGCCACAACCTCGGCCTTTTTTCACTCCAAAGGAAATGTACTTGTCTTTAGTTCCAAATATGCCGCAATGTGGGAGCCAATACAGTATAGACCACTTACAACGTAACCGCTTATAGTGCAGGACCGGGTATAACGCGGTTTTTTTAAACCACCGGTTCGCCTCCCATAGAACTCCATGTAATTACATACCGCTTAAAATGCAGGCGCGCGAAGGGAAATACCGGTTATAGTGCGGTCGCTGGCACAGCCCGCCGACCGCGCCGACGACTGGAGCAGCGAGCATGCTTCCCTGTGCG